TGGGGAGGGTGGGTTCCCTTCCAGGCTTGCCCATGTAAAATCTTTTTATTTTTGAATTGTGGTATAAAACACATACCATAAAATTTACCATCATGACCATTTTTAAGTATATAGTTCAGTAGTGTTAAGTATATTCATATTATTGTGTAACAGATCTCCAGAACTTTTTCATCTTGCAAATCTGAAACTCTATACCCACTAAACTATGACTCCCCATTTCCCCCTCCCTGCAATCATATTTTTACATAGTTGCCTTCCTCTCTACTTTTAATATACACATTCTGTCATGTTATGCATTATCTTGATTTTTTTTTTTTGGTGACAAAGATCAGTCTGGTGCCAATCCTCCTCTTTTTGCTGAGGAAGACTGGCCCTGGGCTAACATCTGTGCCCATCTTCCTCTACTTTACATGGGATGCCGCCACAGCATGGCTTAACAAGCGGCGCAGAGGTCAGAGCCTGGGATCCAAACCTGCGAACCCCGGGCCGCCGCAGTGGAGCTTGTGCACTTAACCGCTATGCCACCAGGCCAGCCCCCATTTTCCTGATTCTTAAAAATAAAAGCCGCTTCGTCTTCTACTAAATTTGTGTATCACAATTTATAACTCTCTCTCATGCTGGACATGTGGGCTACTGTTAACTTGGCCCTACAAGACAGTCATACTGCAGTGGGAGCAAAACCAGGACCAGCCTTGAACAGTGTGGCCTCTGAGACGAAGGATGGCGGAGCCTCTGGACCCAAGAGACCCAGGCAGAGGCTCTGGGCTACCAGCTTGGGTTCAGGGGTTCAGGGGCAGGGCTGACCTCCAGAGAGGTCATTACTTCCAGCTAGTTCAGCTTGAGAGTGCGGGCAAAAGAAAACTATCCCTCCACCCTACTGGGGAGTGGGCCCAGAAGCCTTCATGCCTGCCTGGCTGGGCTCTGTGGTAGGATGGGGCAGGGAGCTCAGACAGAAGGGATGGCCACCCGCCAACCCCCTTTCTTCCTTATCAGAATACTTTCCCTTAGGATGTACTTTTACAGGAATGGGATTACTAAGTCAAAGCGTATGTCATACACCCTCATTTTTCTGATTAAAAAAATTAACAACAAAAAATAAACAAAAATCCCGGAGGCACTGAGGGCGAACCATTTGGTCAGCTTCACAACTGACTGGTGGAAAAGCTAAGCCATTTCCTAGGTTGGAGTTCTGCCCATAGAGTTTTGTCTCAGCTCAGCAGATTTTTCCCCTTCACTTAGCTCTGATACAAAATTACTGATTGTTAAAACTGTTGGACAGCTCTTCAACTATAAACACAGATTCGATGAAGGTACAATTCTACTAAGGGACCTTATGAACAATAACGCTCGCTTTTGTCATAAACTCATCCATAGTCTGGAGTTTGCCCATTAAAAGCAAAAGGGAGAACAGATATGCCATTCGGCAGGACAAGTGGTGCCTGGCCCTTCTCCTTGGCAGGAAAGGCCTGCTAAAAACACTGGGATGTTCAAGTGGCTAAGACTTAGTGACGCTCACACACATCGCTAGGAACACAGCCAGGAACATAACTGCATTTAGGGAGACCAGGTAATTCCTCTATTGTCCTTTACCGGGGCTCTGTCCCCAGCCTGGGCACGGTGCTACTGTCCTCCTCACCCGCGCCTCCTTCCAAAATCCCTCCCCACTTGACCGAGGACTTCCTTGGCACCCATATGCCCACCGTGTAACCTATTAGTGACATGTATTTGTTGGCTTGCTGCTTTGTAAACACCATTCTATTGCCATTAAGTTCTGTGAGGCTCTCCGTCAGACTATCTCTTATACCCAAACTGCAATAAAATGCTTGTATTTTAATCCTATTATTATTGGCAGATTCTGCAATGCAAGATTGTTGAGGGCTTCTTCAGAAATGAAGAATTGATTTTACCTGAAACCAGACCAAAAAACCTTCCCTTCCCTTTTTGTTAAACCCTGTGAGGGCAGGGAATTTCTTTGCCTTGTTCCCGGCTCCGTCCCCACTCCCTAGAAGGAAGAAAGAATTCTTACTGAAAGAATCAGGGAATGAACGAATCTGTGGGGATCTTCAGGCACCACTACTTCTCCCTCTCACATTCCTGTCTGGTCGCCATTCGCTGGATGAATTCATAATCAAGGCTCTTCATAATCAAGTTTCAGATGATTAACTAAACCAGAGAGGTAGACTGCCTCTGACCACACAGATGTCCAGGGCTGGTTGGCAGCTGTTTATGCTGAGGGAACCTGTGAAGTCGGCTACATACCATGTAGTTCCAGGGCTTTTGTCTCCCTCCTTCGGGGTTCAGCACATCACACAACGAAGCTTGTCAGGTAGCAGCTAGACTCTGCTAACTACAGCAAGCGTGCGCTGGCTTCCGAGCCATGAACTAGCTCTGGCTAGAGGGGAGGTGCGCTATGAGAGGAGAAGCCAGAGGAGGGGACGGTCACTGACAAGCGGTTCTCTAGACTCAACCAGGAGGATTCACCAGAAGCATCGACTCCCGTGCGGCCCCCGTAGAGGTCGATGAGCCCTCCCTGCTCCACCTCCACGAAAGGAAGCATGGCTGCCATCATCCCAGTGCTGAGAAGGCTCATCGCCCTCAAGCCTTGGCAGGAAAGAAAAGGTTACACTGGTTTAAAGTGAGGCACTCTCCTTTGGTGAGTGGATCTCGTTAGAATGTTGAGGGGACCTGCGTCCTGGGCAGTGCCAGCACACACAGTGCGATGGTGTCTCCCTGACCTGTCACTAGTTCCCATGTGTAGGGCCACAGGATCTTGGCCCCAGCATTAGTCTCTGTGCTCCAGAGGATAAAGCTGCCTCTTTCTCTCCTCACGCACGAGGCTGATGTGATGATAAGTAACTATGAGTATGAGGGCCTTGGAGGTCTCAAAGAGGGGTGGTATAGACTATGTCTACAAAATGTACAGACCCTCACAGATGTTAGTTGCCTAGCTTTTAAACCCTTGCCGTAGTTCGCACACCTTAGTTCTCCAAACGTGCGGCTCACGTGCTCTTGCCAACAGCAGATGGCGCTACCGCAGCAAAATGAAATGAAGCTATTGTGTCATTTAAGATCTTGTGCATTGGGAAAATAAAAGAAAACAAACTTGTCCCACACTCTCCTACTAATGAAATCCAGGGCTCTCTGAACACAGAGTCAGTGTTCACAGGAATTTCACAGCACTTGGTTTAGGAGGGGATGCCCGCGATTCCAATTTCGCGATTCCAATTTCACGGAGGATAGAAGGCTTGCCGCAAACTGGACCATTTGTCAGTGAGAGCGAGCAGGGTCCTCCTGCCAGGCCCGCCCCCTTGAATCTTGTGGTAGGCCCCTTGCTCACCTCTCTATTATCCCAGTTACTGGGCAGGATGGGACTTTGGTGAATTCTGGTTACATACTGGCTATGAACTGGGAGTTGAATATTTCTAGTCAAGCAAAGATAAAGGAACATGTCCTTTCAGCTGGCTCTCCAGAGCGTAGAGGGGAGTGAAGGGGAGGATTCCCAACAGAAAGATCGGGGGACCAGCCTAGGCCTGCAATACTAGAGCCGGAGAGACCACTGAGGTGCCAGGCCCAGTAACTGCCAAACGTGGCTAAATATCAGCAGTCACCTGTGAAACGTGTCTAAATGCAGATGTCTGGCCTCATGCCCAGACTCATGAATCAGAATCTCCAGGGGTGGGGCCCAAGAAACTGAATTTATTTCTAACACGATCCCCCAAGTGATTCTTAATGAAGTGAGACAATCACCAGCTCACCAGACTGGTCTTTGTGAGCCACTGAGCTAATCTGCTTCTCATTTGACAGTGGCTGATGACGACGATAATGAACAGTCACCGACTGACTTTCTAGGTGCTTCGCGCTGTTCTGAGTACTTCATACTCATTTCACTCTCACAATGGTGCTATGACGTAGGTACTATTTATTATTACTGTCATCCCCATTTTGCAGGTGAGGAAAACTGGAACCCAGGCCTTGGTCCTAGAATTCAGGAAAGGTTCCATCAGGGATGTCATTCATGCCTACTTTGGGTACATTTAAATGCTCCTTTTTGGCCAGGTTGAAGCCTCATAGGCAGAGGCTGAATTCTGGCCCTTTGGATGTGCTGGCTTCAAATTCCAGTAATACATATTTTTAGAAATAACAGAGATAGCCTCTATCCATCGGAAAATGATGAAATAGGTTTAAACTATACCATGAGAGATATAGGTGAGCCAAAAAAGAAGGATTCATTTGTAATGCAAAAGATATTATCATGAAGAATGAGTACAGAAAAATATATGAGTGCACTTGACGAGTCTGGAGAGATGTGTGCGAATGAATGTGTGTGTGAGTGTGGTGACTGTCGAGAGCTCTGGGACCACACTGATCTGGAGGGGGAGTCAGAGCAGACGATAATGCCCTCCTAGGACTCATCCTGCAGAGACCAAGGAGCAAGATAAACTTGACCTAGTAGGTCATCTCCTTTGTGGCGATGCCTGGGATGCTTGAGAGAGACGGATACTTGAAGGTGAGGGCTCAGATTAAATGACTTCTGCAGGTCCCCTCCAGATGCCATCTGAGACTCGACTCCTCTGTAGGTGGGAGGAATCTGGGATCATGAGGCCCAGCTCTCAGGGCCTGGATTGCCAGTCTCCTGTGTTCTTCATAAACCCACAGGTCTACAAAACTCCTGGAGCGTGAAGGGAGTGAGTCATCTCACAGAGACTCCACCGGGAAACAGCAGCTGTGAAGGGTGGCTTTGGCTTAGTCAATTTCAGATCTGATCCCAAAATACAGCTGCATATCCCAGACTTAAGGCGTCTGAGAGGACAACTCCAGTGTATGATGTGGAAGCAAAACAAAATGAATCCAAGACCCAGAAACTTCTCCTCAGTCTGTCACAGCATTTCCCCTGACCTTCACGGACCAGTGTCTGGTGCACTGGGGCATCTCAACAAATGGTGTTAACTGAAGGACCGGATGGAAGGAAGGAGTGGGAGCATGTGTTGGGGGTCACTCACCTCAGTGCGCTGTACCCCTGACACACGCTGACGCAGCACAGGACCTTTTCTTGGTTTGCCTGAGTCTCCCCCAGGTATTTGCACACGATGTTACCACCAAGGCTAAAGCCCACGACGACCAGCTGGGTCAGGGGGTATGTCTTCTTGATGTAGTTGACCATGGCTCCAAATTCCCAGGTGCAGCCTGTGGACAGAGTAAAGCCACTCAATCATTTTAGGTGCATAAAGATCAGAGAAAGTACAAGCTGGAGGGTTACTAAATGGGTGCCAAGATACTAACAGAGAGAGAGAGAAATACACGTGCGTGTGTGTGTGTGTGTGTGTGTGTGTGTGTGTGTGTGGAGAGAGAGAGACAGACAGACAGACGGACACTTCTCCTGGGCTACCTGGAGAGAAGTTCCCAGATGCCCCTTGGTATAAGAGGAAACAGCATCAGCAGTGCCCAGGAGGGGAGGTATCGTGTATCCAACAGGTGTGCAATGCTCCTTTAAAGGTGACTGGTAAGAAACCTGGCTAGATGCTCACGGAAATCAAAACAGATATTCAGGGTGTGCATGAGCACATTTGTTCGCACAGATGTAAACGAGCAAGAGCAAAACCTTTGGGATTAGCTTCTTAGGCTACAAAACAGGATGCTATACCCATGCGTACCATGATTCATGGTGTTAAGAAGAGTACCAAGTGGATGTTATTTACAGGATCTTCTTGTCAGCATGGGGGAAGGAAGGAAAGAAACTTCAGTCCAGAGGGACGGCCAGGATGCTCTATAGGATTAGGATAAAACGTTCTTGGTGACGTACGGACAGGGTGCCAAGGGAGGCAGACCCATTCAGAAACACACAGAGGAGACTTCTCAGTGGACAGGGTGTTGGGGCCCAGTTTGCCCAGGAGGGATGATCTCAGCTGGTGTCCCCTTGAGAAGTGGTTGAAGCCATGTTATGTCTCAGCTGCTTTGCTAAGAGGAGGTTAGTGGCCATACGTGAGTGAAGGGATTTATCACATCCTTCTAAGACCCAATCCCTTGCTCTTCAGGGAGCCAGTTTAAAGTAAAACCAACAGGGAAAGTTAGGGACGTTGGCCAGAAGCATGTACAAGACAGACTGGCAGGAGGAGAGCATGGAGTTACAATGGAAACACAAGCTGCTGACCTCGGCACCAGCTCAGAGGTTTCGACATCCCTAATAAGAGCTGAACGGCTCCTTCCCTAACCAGCGAGGCACGGGGGGCACTACCATTTGAGCCTGTGGCAAACTCCCATTACATCCTTCTTCCTCTTATATTGGGATGCAGCCTAAGCCAGCACAACCCCACGCAGGGGTTCTCAAACTGTGGTGCATGTTAGAATCACCTGGAGAGGGTGTTAGAAATGGGCATTCCTGGGCTTAACCCCCAGAGAAGCTGATTCAGTAAGATGAGGGAATCTGCACTGAAAAAAGTTTTTGAATAGGTAACTCATGCACATGGCACAAAATTTAAAAGACATAGAAGATGTGGTAAAAGGTAATTTCCTATATTCTTTTTAAAAATATCAACAGTAGCACACATATTGTGTAGTACCTTGCTTACCTTGTTTTCTTAACAATATGTCTTAGAAACCATTGTGTAACAATACACATAAAGCTGCCCTGTTCTTTTTTCTTTTAATGCAGTATAATATACACTCAGGGAAGTGCACAGTGGATGAATTTATACACGTTTACGACCATGTAGCCATTGCCCAGGTCAAGATGTAGAATATTCCTGACACCTCCGGAGGCCCCCTCATGCCTCCTTCCAGACAATAGCCCCTAGACTCTGACTAATGATCACAGTCGGGAAATATTGGGAGCACCTGAGGCTCGGAAGGCGGCAAAAGATGCTTAAGACTAAGGGAAAAACTGGAGGCCAAAGAGCTGCTTGCTCCCAGCACGGAAAGATCAGGCTTTACTCTGAGAAGCAAGCACATCTCTCTTTACAGTGAGACATCAGGTATCTGCTCTTTTCCTCCCTCCTGTATCCAGCAGGGTTGTGGCAGTTTGCAGGCCTTCAATAAACAGCTAATGACTTAAGTGGATTCTGATGGCCTCTGAGTGGGTCCTAGTGACAGGCTCCTGAAGGAACCTTGAACGCGTTAACTTTGGAATTTGAAGTGCCAGCCTTTCGTCCCCACCTAGGTCATTCATCCAAGTTTCTCTTTTTAAAAAGGTAGCAGTGGAAGGACTATTGTACCTCTAGGGAATGCTGGGTTTAAATTGGGGAGCTGTGACGTAAAAGAGGGGGGTCTTCAAAAGCACTCGGTGGCTAGCACAGCCACTCGGTCACACAACAAATAAAAAATTTAGAAATCCTGTTAGAGACATTCGTTCACCTCCCTCAGGCCATAAGGGGCCTTATAAACACGGCCTGGATGAGGCAGCCTGGCCTCCCAGCTGAGTGAAAGGGCTCTGTGGTCAGACTGCCTGGGCCTACCACTTAGGGGCCCCAAATGCTCCCAACTTCCCTCTGATGACAAGCAAGCCCTGGGGACGAGGACAGTCTACAGCTTCCGGGTTCCCTGCTGGAGGCTCGGAGTCTACAGGAACAGGATGGGGCCTGGGAACGGGTTCTTTTAACAAACACTCCAGATGGTTTTTATCATGCAGGAACTTTGGGAGATACTATGACCTTGTGCAAGTTACCCAACCATCCTGGGTCTGTTTCCTCATCTGTAAAATGGAGGTAATCATAGTAAATACCTCATAGAGTTGTTTGGAGGATTCAATACAGCGACATAGGTAAAGAGCTAAGACCAGGGCACGGAACATGATAATCATCTAATGTTAACTATAACTGTTAATTCTCTTCTAAAAATATCATTTAAGTACACCCATGTTCATAGCAACTTTATTCACAATAGCCAAAAGGTGGAAGCAACTCAAGTGTCCATCAATAGATGAATGCATAAACAAAATGTGGTATATCCATAAAATGGAATATTATTCAGCCTTAAAAAGGAAGGAAACACTGATACATGCTACACTATGGATGAACCCAAAGGATGTTATGCTAAGTGAGATAAGCCAGTCACAAAAAGACAAATACTATACGATTCCTCTTATCTGAGGTACTCAGAGTGGTCAAATTCATAGAGACAGAAAGTTGAATGGTGGCTGCCAGAGGCTGAGGGGAGGGGGAATGATTGTTTAATGGGCATAGAGTCTTAGTTTTGCAAGATGAAAAGTGTTCTGGAGATTGGTTGCACTACAGTGTGAATGTACTTAACACTACTGAACTGTGCACTTAAAAATGGTGAAGATAGTAAATTTTATGTTGTATGTATTTTACAAAAAAAAAAAATCATTTAAACAAAGAATTGTAGCTCAACACTTGAAAAGGCCAAACTAGATTTCTAGATTTTTCTCCAAAACAGTGTTCTTCAATCTGATTGCACATTAGAATCACATAGGGATCTTGTAAAACAACAGCAACTGACACTAATGTGTGGTCCCTGCCCAGACTAATTAAATCAGAATATCTGGGAGTGGGACCCCGGGATGCATGTTCTTTTGCAAGATTCCCAAGTGATTCCAAAGTGCAACCAGGGCTGAGAGCCCCTGGTCTAAGGACCAAGGATCTCTCTGGTTCAGATGGATGTGAGAAAGCATTTTTTGAGGCATCCTCCCACTGTCTCTGGAACATCCCTTTTCAGACTTCCTTCCCTTTCCACTTGCAGTAAACGACCTTCACACATGGGGGCACTGCTCTGCCTTTTGGAAGCATCTGAAGCAGGGCTGTTGGCCTGGTAGCTGCTTTCCAAACATTTCCTCCAAGCCAGGTTTCCACAGGTGGCAAGTCCTCCCTCAACACAACCTGGTACTTCCTCCAGGTCCAAGAAACACCTAACAAAAATAATCTTTAAGGGGCCGGCCCAGTGGTGCAAGCAGTTAAGTGTGCGCGCTCCGCTGTGGCGGCCTGGGGTTCGCTGGTTCAGATCCCAGGTGCGCACTGACGCACTGCTTGTCCAGCCATGCTGTGGCGGCGTCCCATATAAAGTAGAGGAGGATGGGCACGGATGTTAGCTCAGGGCCAATCTTCCTCAGCCAATAAAAAAAAAAAAGAGGAGGATTGGCATCAGATGTTAGCTCAGGGCTGGTCTTCCTCACTAAAAAAAAAAAAAAATCTTTAAATCTCTAAATACATACAGTTGCTTTCTGGTAATCTTTTCTATAAAGAGTGAAATTAGAAAAGCTGCATTGAGGTTATACATCACTGCATGAATGATGCTCTAGCCCAGTGGTTCTCACAGTGTGCACCTTGGACAAGCAGCAACAGCATTGCCTGGGAACTAGTTCAAAATGCATGTTCTTGGGCCTCACCCCAAACCTACTGAATCAGAAACTCTAGGGGTGGGGCCTAAACAGAGGGCTTGTTACAACACAGATTGCCGGGCCCCACCTCCAGAATTCCTGATTCAGGAGGTCTGGGTGGGCTGAGAATTTGCATTTCTAACAGGTTCCCAGGTGATATTGATGCTGCTGGTCCAGGGACCACACTTTGAGAACCACTGTCCTAGCTGACAGGAAAGGTGGATGAAACCTCAATTTTCTGTTTCTTTTGTCTTTTAAAAGGGCAGTTCAAAAAGATGCTTCATATCACTCATAGTTAAATAAATGCAAATTAAAATGACAATTAGAAATCATTTTCCACCGCCCATATTAAAAAAGATGAACAAGTTTGCCAATACCCAAGACTGGGGAGGGTGTGGGGAACAGCCCCGCTGGCCCATCCAGAAAGAGTGTGCACTGGTATAGCCTTCAGAATGCAATGTGGTAACAACATCTATTAAGGTTTTTAAAAGACCATTCCTTTGGTCCAGGAATTCCACTTTGGGGGACTTTATACTGCAGATGTGTGCACAGATGGATGCACATGTGTGCAAAAGTATGTAAGAATATTCATTGCAGCACTCTTTGTAACAGAAAAGATTTGGAAACAACCTAAATGCCCATCAATAGAGGCCTAGTTAAATTGCTGTGAAAAAGAACAATGCAGAGTCCAACCTGCTGATGTGGAATGACTCCAAGCCATCTTAGCAGGGGACAGAAACAGGGGCAGAGCGGTGGGGATGGCACCACCTCACGTGCACTTGGGTTTTAAAGGGCTTATATGTGCACACATATCTGCTTGAGCATTCAATGAAAAACTGTAGCAGATAGAGATTTTCTG